CATTAATAACAATATCTTTTACTTCCTTTATTACAAATTCGACTGCTGAAGAAACTTTTTTCCATTAAATTTTACTATTTATAAGGGTCCGTATAAAACAATTTAATGCTCCTAAGTTCATTATCCACTCTTCGATATATTCATAGCAAATTTTATAAAAATTTTTAACTTCTATCATAGTCATAAGAAATATATAGTCTGGAAGCAAACAATAGCGCTTTGTTTATGTTTTTGTTCCAGAAATTACTCGTTCTCATTCTTCCGAAGGTGCACAGTAAACAAAAACATCTCATAGCGAAAGTATCGATCTCCTTATTTTCTTGATACTTTTACATGAAATTTAAACAACTGTAATTTATTTTAGTGAATAGTTTACAATTTGCAATATTATTATTTGTACTTGCAAATTTGGCATTGTTATAAAAAAAGATTTATTCAAAATTATGCAAGACTACATTGTCCCATGTCACTAAGACGTTGTCTAATATTACTAAAAAAGTCTATGAAATAATTTTTCTTCAGTCTAAAACATGACTTTAAATAACTATGAAAATTAAAGACGAAATATATATATATACATATATATATATATATATATATATATATATATATATATATATATATATATATATATATATATATATATATATATATATATATATATCGATGACATTATGCACAGAAGTGTTAAGTGCTAAACTAAAAATGTAAATGTGGCAAGGACACTTTGAACATTTATGCATAAAATATTTTTTTTCGTTTTTGTACTTGACATGTAAAATCAATTTGTAGACTCGTAACAATTTATCATACACTGACCATATTCGAACAGAATAATCTTTGAATAATACAACAGTTTTTGTGTCCTTAGCTCAATTTGACCAAATGTTGTACTTAACACTTCTGTGTATAATGCTATCGATATATATCTATCTAGTTGTGTCAATGAATTTAAATCATTGATATATATCTATCTAGTTGTGTCAATGAATTTAAAAAATGTTTAAATGATTTTTGACCCTTGATAATCTAGAAATAGAGAAATATTTATGTGTTTACACAAGAACTTCCAATAAAATATATCAATTAGGTTTTTAATTTTGTTAGACTTGACTATATAGAAAAGCAATTGAAGAAATAAATTTCCTAGATACAATGTTAAACTACAAAAATATTAAGCAAAATATTTGTAATATTAATTTATAAATGCTAAATATTTTGTCATTTTCAGAGTTTTTCAAACAAACAAAAATTTTTTTTACAAAGATTTGAAAAAACCATTTTTAAAATATATTTTAATTTAATATTTTTAATTGGCAATTTAATAAAAATCTCACTCAAAGCATATCCAGTCTAAAATGATTCTGATATCATAAACAGTAAAGTAATTTCAGAATTTTGAAGCTAGTGAAATAAAGCTAACACTTAATATTCATAATAATTAAATGTTTAAAAACATCAAACTTAAATACATATGCTTATATGACCAATATTACACTAACTTGGAAAATTTACTCACCGTTAATAAAAATTACTTCTTATTAGTCATGAATAGTAAAATCCAATCATTGAAAAAATATTTTCTTTCCCAGTATGTCTAAGAGCAAAATTTTTCAACCAAATTTCAAGTTTTTGTGTCAAAGAACAAAAAATCAATCAACATTAGTATTGATTTTTGATCTATTGACACAACACAATAAACCATTTTACAAACATCTGGAAAAAAAAAGTGAAGATGATTAAATAACTTATTATATCATATCATATCATATATAAATATTCTGAAAAATAATTTCATGGATATTTATATATATATATATATATATATATATATATATATATATATATATATATATACGCATGTTTTAAAAATGTTTTTTATTACGCATGTTTTAAAAATGTTTTTTATTAAATCAATAACAAAAACACTACTAATTAAAAAAAACTTTCTAGTCGTTATAATTGCGGTTTTTTAAAAATTTTTTAAAAAACAATTAAATTTAATGTACTTCCGCATAAGTTAATTGCTTTGACATTTCGATGACAATCAAAAACAGCTTAAGAGACGAGGTAATTAAAATTGTAGTCGTAAGAGACTTTTTTTACATTAAAACGCTCTTTCGACTACACTATATGGGTATATATATATATATATATATATATATATATATATATATATATATATATATATATATATATATATATATTTTAGCATGAAACTAATAGTTGTGAAAAATATGCAGTTTTATTTATAAATAATATATTATTTTATTTATAACTACTTCAGCTATGTAAAATAGATTTTATATATATAATATATATATATATATATATATATATATATATATATATATATATATATATATATATATATAATATAACATATATAATATATATATATATATATATATATATATATATATATATATATATTTATATATATATATATATATATATATATATATATATATATGTATATATATATATATATATATATATATATATATATATATATATATATATATATATATATATGTATATATATATATATATATATATATATATATATATATTATATATATATATATATATATATATATATATAATATAATATATATATTGTATATATATCTTATTTATAACTTTTTTAGCTATGTAAAATAGATTTTTAAAACTAAATAATCTTTTCTTAACAGATTAGAAAAATAATTAATACAAAAAATTTTCAAAAACTATATAAATTAAATCTCAAAACCAGTCTTCAGTTTAAACTCTTAAAGAGAGTAATGTTGAATATATATATGTTTATCTTTCTGTGCACCTTCAGCGGGTCGTTGATACGAGTTTCAACATAAAACGGCAAAACAATGGAAACGGCCTTTATTTCCAGATTATTTATTCTTATGACTATGCTTCTATTAAAATTTTTTTTTTTTTCCGGGATTGAAATCTTTCAAAGCGGTCAGTTTTAATATTGTATATAGTAGTGTATGTATATATTTTTTAATTTAAATTTGCCTTTAATTTGTTTTTTTATATTTTTCTGCAAAAAAAATTTTCTTTCACTTTATCCTTCTGAACTTAAGTGATTAAGTTTTTGTTTTCTCTTACGTATTTTCTCACTCATCTTATCTCATCCGTTCATTTTCTCTTTTTTTTTTCATTTTTCTTAGCGTTACTCTTTTATATTTTTGTGTTAATTCCAACTTTTTAAATAGTATTGTTCCTTATACTTCTTTTTTATTACTTGTATTAATGTAGTTTTCTTTTTTTCTTATTATTTTTTATTTTATTTGTTTATTTTATGAAGGTGTCGTTCCATTGACTTGTTTTTAAAATGAGTGACACCGAACATAAATTTGTAAATTATAATTAAGTTTGTAATTTTTGATTTTATGGTTAATTAACCATAAGCGCATGCGTAGTATGTACAGTAAAGTTTTTGTTATCCTTTTATTTAATTAAATAAATGGATAAAAAACTTTGCTGTACATACTACGCATGCGCCAAGACTGTCAAGCATGGCGTACATACTGCACATCAAAGATCAGCCTGGGGATTACATATGCAAATGTTGGATCCATCTCTTTTCACAAATGTAATTTTGACATTGTTAGAAAAAGAGGTCTGTAGTATCTATCTATCTCTCCAGGTTCATAATACAGCCTCTCAATTGTGTTGAAAATGGTAGCCATATGTGCATTCAAAATTTAAATCACTGTCAAACTTGTATCTGGTGTTTGCCCTGTCCTCTGACGTGCTGGAAACGGCAAGCAATATGTGCGCATGAAATTCAAATCACTGTCAAAATAATTTTAAATATTTAATTAATAAAATTGAAATGAAATAATATAAAAAAAATGTTTTAGAAATACAAATGATTACAAAATTATACAAATGAGTACTTTCAGAGTACAGGATTTGAAAAAAGTACGGTTTGTGAAAAAAGAGTAAAAAAACTCAGTAAATGAGAATAGCAGGTCACCTTAATTGTCTACATAATTTTTTGGTAGATTTCAAAGTACTTGCAAAAGATGGTTTTATCTATGAAAATATTGAGTTTAAAATCAATCTTGCTGTTATCATATGTGATGCACCAGCTAGAGCATTTGTAGAGTGTATTAAAGGACACAATGGTTATAACTGATGTGAATGTTGTGCTTAGAAAGGAGAGTGGTGTGGCAAGATAATTCTCCTACATATTTCACTAATTTTAAGCACTGATTCAGATTTTTTGTCATTAAAAGCATTCTGAACATCTTAGTGGTGTGTTAAATTGAATTAAATTTTGACATGGTGACAAAGTTTCCTTTAGACTTAATGCATCAAGTATGCTTAGGGGTAATGCGAAGATTTCTCAACTTATGGTTAAATTGCCCAAATGTTGTAAATTATCTCAGATTATAGTCATTACTTTATCTGGCGGATTGTTCCAGATACGTCATTACATTCCAAGAAATTTTTCTAGAAAATCAAGATCTTAATTAGATATTAAAAAATGGAAAACAACTGAGCTTAGAATATTTATAGTATACACTGGACCAGTTGTTTAAAGGGAATGGTTTAGCCAAAAATCTATTCAATTTTTTAGATTTTTCAGTTGTAGTTCTACTTTCATGTTTCATTTTATTGAAAAAATATGTTAACTTTGCTTTTCAGCTACTTATTTTTATATGTGAACTTTATAATAATATTTATCATAACTAGTGTACAATGTCCATTCATTAGCACATATAGGAAATAATACAGTTAAATTATCAGGTACTTGATAGATGTCCCTGTTTCAAATACAAAACTTTTTCAGGTCAATTAAAAAATGTTTGTCTAGGGGGCTCATTTGCAAATTTAGGGGCAAATTTAAATTTATATACAATATATATCAAATTATATACAATATGAATAAAAAAATATATTTATTTAATAATTTTGTATAATTTATTTATCAGTAACTAAAGGAATGTTATCAATTTATTATATGAATCGTAAGCATGTGCTTATCTATTACAAGTACCTTTGATGGTGAAAATTACATTTTTTATCTGAAGAGAGTTGGGAGAAATGGTAAGAGTTTTATAACATATTAAAATTAATGTATGTGTTACCAATAAAATTTAAAACTAACAGTTAAACTTAATTTTTTACAGTTCATATTGAAACGAGATATTGTGTAAAGAGGTTTTCAAAGAAGTCGTTTTAACAACAATGGAAAAGCTTCCGATTCCCGAGATAAACGTGGAAGCATTTGATACATGATTAAAGAATCGTTCAAAAGTTTGCTTAATTTTGACATTGTAATTTTAATTACTATTTTTTTTTGAAATAAACCATTTAATTTATATATAAATTTGCTTTTTCTGTAAATTTTAAACATTTAAACGTAGTTTTGCAAGATTTGCCATGGGTAAACCTCGTGGGACCCTCACGGGATACCCGGCGGGCATACCCATATGGGCCCCAGAAGAAAACCGCGGCCATGATCCGGCGGGTTCCCGATGGGTTTCCCATATGGGTCCCATTTGCAAACCCAAATGGGTCCCTTACGGTTTTAAAGTACGGGATTTGACAGGGACCCATACGGGATACCCGGTGGGCTAACCCATATGGAAACCGCGGTCATGATCCGGCAGGATACCGTTGGTCTTCCCATACGGGACCCAGTTGACGACCCGTATGGACCCCGTACGGTACCCGTATGTCAATGTTGGCTGGGCAGCGGGCATACCCATATGGGCTCCAGAAGAAAACCACGGCCAAGATCCGGCGGGATCCCGATGGGTTACCCATATGGGTCTCATTTAAAAACCCAAATGCGTCCATTGCGGTTTTAAAGTACGATATTTGACTGGGACCCATACGGGATACCCGGCGGGCTCACCCATATGGGAACCGCGGCCATAATCCGGCGGGATACCGTTGATCTTCCCATACGGGACCCAGCTGACAACCCGTATGGGCCCCGTACGGTACCCGTATGTCAATGTTGGCTGGGTTTATGTATCCAATTTATTTTATTTTTTTGATCACTGTTATCAAAGTCAGAAATTCCTTTGTGTGCTTTGCTACCAATAGTTTTTTTTAAATCATGTAGAGTTTCCGTTGCTGCAATTTGAAAATCTGCTTCTTCAACAATAAACTTTTTTAGAGTTTCAACATTTTCGTTTAATTTGTTTTCATACACCCATTGTTTGTATCTAGTTAACGTTATCTCTGGAACTTTTTTTTGCAATTGATGATACAATATCCCAACGCCAAGTTCATCTGTTCTATTTGCTTCTTTTAAGTTTGTTACTGCCACATCTAACAAATCCGCACTTTTCAACGTCTTTTGGATTATTCTCTCTCATAGGTTTAAAGTTGTTCAATTCATCCAAATACATAAGGCTTTTCTCCTTGTTCCGTCATATTTTCTTTTAAGTCTTTCTTTTGCAGCTTCATTAGCGAATGACGAATGCCCAAGTCCTTTAATTGCTTTTAATGCGTCTCCACATATATACATATTATCTTAACTGAAATAATTTATACTCAGCTGTTGCTGGGGCATAATCAATACATACGTAGAATGAAGCTTTCCACTTTTCATAGTTCTTTTTATCGCCATTAAACATTGGTATAGAGACTCGTTTTAGTTGTTTCCATAAATCATGTCCAATTTTTGCAGTCTTTTGATCCAAATCAATTATTTCATTTTCCATTTTACGCATGATATGCGTTAATTTGATTGGTTCAGTTTCGCTACTGCCATTTTCTTCTTTATTATCTTCATCCTGTCACTACTTTTTTGAGTATTTAATCATTGATAAAATTGCTTTTTTATTTTCATTTTAAGTCTTTTTTCCACCCTTTGTTATTTTAAAATTGATTTTAAACTTCCATTGCGCAATATCCATTCATTTACATGTTCAATAATCAACGCAAATTCGTCGTTTAGTTTTTCAATTTCTTTATTGGATTTTCCTACATTTTCTTTTGATTCCAGAAGTTTGTATTTCTTTGATAATTCAACCATTATCTCAAGAGCTTCGTTTTGAGTCTTTGTTAATTGATTACTCAATTCGCGTAACTCATTTTTACAAGTGGGTTCATCGTCACCAAGTTGCTGAATAATTTGATGTTTAGTTCGCGTAAACGATGACTTTAGAATTATTTTCTTCGTGTTCAATGCAGATACTTCATTTTGAACGGTTAACCGATCTTCCATTTGGTTATTTGATTTTTTCTTTTTACCATTCTTCCGTGATGAAGAAACTACACTCTGCTACCAATTATGATCCGATAACGATCGCAAAAAATACCGAATATGTATTATAACTTATATTTTTAAGATCTTAACCGTTTTTTACATTAACTATATCACTTATATTCTTTATATTTTTGTATCTCACAAACAATAATAACAAAACTTTATTTATACAAAAATTTCGTTCAATAAAAAAAAAAAATTGTTCCGTAGCTTGAGCTTTCAAGTTCGAAATGCTTTTCAAACTAACACTGACTGATAGATTTAAGCAATTTTGAGAAAAATCAGTCTGCAAATGCCTTGTCTGTTTGATGTTGAAGACATTGATAGACATCCATTGGAGACTCTCAGCCGTGTTGATGTTAAAAACATTGATCAACATCTATCAGAGACTCACACTTATGCGTACACATTTTTATGGCTACAAAAAAAGGCAGAATCTATAATACCAGGCTGTCAAGCAGCAACTTTTGAAAAAAATGACAAAAAATGACGGTATTTTGAGGATAAAAATGACAAAAAATGACTGATTTCATTATAAAAAAGAAACGTTCAATAAGTTTATTTAAAAAATAACAAACAAAATAACAAAAAAAATCATCCGCCATCAACAATTTCTTTTAAAAATGAAAATCTCAACATCTTTTTGTTATTTAACACGCAATAAAACGTTTTTCTAAAGTCTAAAGTAATTAACATAAATAAATAAATTTTGCCAATTATAACTGAACCAACAGTTCAAGCTCTATTATATTTACAAAAACTTTCAAACTTTTAACGACTACTTTAATTTTTTGCAACGCTTAATTAATCTATTCATTTCACTTTTACGTTTTAAACCAATATTTTCTCTCAACCTTTTCTGTTCATTTCTATGAGATGTAGCATTTTCAAGACTTCTTTTTGCGCTGTTTACCATTTCATGGGCAATTTTTATACCAATCATGTCTTCCTTAATAATGGCACTTTGCATAGATTTTGCTGCTTCACCGAGCATTCTCTGAGCAACCTGAAACTCAAGATCTGCATTTTTTTCATTATTCTTTAGACTTTCCTGTTGATCTAAATTTTTATTGTGATTTTCAACTTTTTCAAGCATTTCTTTCTGTTCTTTTTCTTTATTCATTAGTTCTTGCTTATGAATATAATTTTTTCTTTTTCCTTCGTCTTCTTCAGCTTTTCTTTTTTTATATATTTTATGAGCATTTTGAACAGCTTGAACAACGTCTTTGGAGAGTGCATCAACATTATATGCTCCTCTGCAACTTCTTGCATATTCTTTTGATATTCTCAAAGCCACTAATGTTTCATCATTTAGATTTACTCTCTCAGGAATCAATGTATCTTTGTTATCAGATAAACTTCGCTCAGCACTGGCATTTCCATTCTGAATTGTTAAACAGCTCTTAACAACTTTACTGAGATACCCATACTTTGTTTTTCCATATTCATTGTTGCTTTCAAAAACTTTAGCCCAATAATGGTCTTCTCTTTTTAGTTTTTTTGTATCAGAATCTATATACCAGTCTTTTGATATATTAGCTGATTGGTATAATTTCCATTCATCTTTCACAAATTCACCTGCACAAAATCACCTGCACAAAAATTGTTATGGAGAAAAAGTTAACATTTAAAATTAAAGGGAAATTTAATTATATCAAAACTAAAGTAGTTCGTAAACTAATAATTTACAAACAACAAATTATGATTCGAGTTTGTTAGCTAATAATTTACAGACAACAATTTCCGATTTGAAAATTAAACTAATAATTAGTATTATTTATTTATTTAATTATTATAATTAGTATAATTAAAATAATAGTTAGTATATTTAAAATAATATTGTTAACGTACTCTGCTATTTTAATTATATAGTAGATTATGTTAAGAATATAAATACTTATATTACATAAAGTTTTCAAAATTTACTTATTATTAGTTAAATTTACAAACCAAAAATTATGATTATATTTATATATATAAATATATATATATATAAATATATATATATATAAATATATATATTTATATATATATAAATACATTTATATATATATAATTATATATATATATATATATATATATATATATATATATATATATATATATATATATATATATATATATATATATATATATATATATATATATATATATATATATATATATATATATAGAAAATAAGTTTCTCCTTTAAAACTATTAAAATAAGTGAGCTCAAATAATAGTTACATTAACTCCCCTTTGAAAAAATATATTATTTTTTAAAAAAGCTTAAGTAATCATTTCTAAAGAATTCTAAATAGTATCAGCAAATTACACAAATGTGTGAAAAATTGCAGTAGTTAAGACATGTGACTTCCTGTAATTTAATTTTTGGAGTTTTATTAATTTGATCATTCATTTCTGATGAGTCTTTATTGATGAAACACAGTGTTAAATGAGAAAAAATTTTGCTAAGTAATTTTCTAGTAATTTGTAATTGATCTGTTCTTTTAAAAACATTGAGCACTCTTTTTGTAGAATACATTTTAAATTGTTTAAATATATATATATATATATATATATATATATATATATATATATATATATATTTATATATATATTACATTTTATATATAAATATATAAGTATTATATATTTATATAAATATATAAGTATTATATATTTATATATTTATATATATATTACATTACACTTATTTAATAAAAAATTATTTAAATATTCACCTCCCTTTCCGTAATTACATGTGGCATCATAACTGCTATTTGCCCAATTGCATTTACAGTCAAAGGTTCTGATCTCATTTGAGCACCCAAACAAGTCATATCTTTTAATATCTGCGAATTAAGTGGAAGTTTTTTTGCAAGTGTTTTACAACAGATATATATCCATCTCTCATTTGCTGTAAGCAGACATATCTTTTTTTTTCACATGATATTTTGTTCACCTAAAACATATTTATATCGAAAATCTACATCAATGAAAATGAATAAAAAAACTTAATTTTCAATAACAAAATATCTAATGATTAATACAATAAACAAAATAGTTTATATTGCCTAGTACATTTACACATATTTACCAAGTACACATTTACCAGGTAGCAAATGTGTAACTGGTAAATGTAGCAAACGTGTACCTATCAAAAATTACCTGGTTTTTAGCATCGTCATCAAAGTCCATTTTATTCAAATCAAGGTGGATAGTTGAATCGGAAGAATCAATTTTTAAAAGATCTTAAGTAAGCTTTCCATTAACAGCAGACGGTTGAAGGAAACGTTTCATTAAAGATATTAAAAGATTTCTCGTTTTATAAAATAAAATATGAGCAAGTGGTCCTTCATCTTGAAATATTGTCAAGTATTTCTCAAACAAGGGAGCTAAACCAATAAGGAATTTGGTGGACACAAGTAACTCCTAAAATAATCAATTCTCTATTATGTGTAATAATTCAAAAAATAATAATAAGAAGAATAACTTTAATTACATTTTCAGTTTCCTTAACACTTCTTTGAATACGAATATAACGTTTGTTACTTTTCAGTGTTTTTTTATATTCCTTTTGTTTTGGAACATATTCCAAAAAATATTTCTTGGTGTCTTCCCACCTTAATAGAACCTTTATAAGTGAAGAAGAAAGAGTAAGCCATCTAGTATCGACAAAACGAAGAAACAATGTTTCATCTTCAATAAAAATGCAATCTGATAATTTTTTAAAATCTTCTATTTTACAGGATGCATTTTAAAACAGAAAAAAAAAAAAAAATTATATAGAGACACAACACTTTATTAGCTAATCGTATAATAGACTATTAGAATAAAAAATAATAATGATGTAAGAAAAATAACTTCATAGGTAAAAAAAAAAATCTCTTTTAGTATTAACTGCAGTTAACTCCCGTTAAGTTAGACTCTCATGGGGAGTAGATAAATAGTCCGACTTGTCCAAATAAGCTAAGCTTCTTGTATGTATAGAAAGCTCAAGGGGAATTGAAAATCTGTCCGACTTGGTACAAAACCAACTTTTCCAGGGTCCGAATTAATGGGATTCTACTGTATAAAACTACTCAAATCATTACCTTGAACCAGGTATGTAAATCGAATGCATGCTGCTCAGCATCCTCACCGACAACATTAATTGCTTTTCGAAAAGCATTGTGCACTGTGTGCAAAGTGCAACTTACAAATGGTAACAAGCCATTAAAACCATTGCTATGAAGATCAGCATTTAACAATCTCCAAATGGCTTTTTAATATTAGGACCATATGCTGAAATATTAAAAAGACGATCCCATGGTAAATAAAACCTTTCATTATGACGTAAATCTGCTAGCATTGTTTTGACATCTTAGGTAGTTGTCTTATCAAACATTAAAGTGAATGCACCTTGACTTAACTTGATACTATTACATAAACGCTTTTCCAACAATGGCCCAAGACCATCTTGCAAAATATATGAAGCTTTTTTTTCCGACTCATAGTAAAACGTTGACTTATTTTACTATCTGAAAACATTCTTTGGAACAATATTGGTGTGTTGTCACAATGACTCAAGGCAAGATCATTCACTTTAAAAAGCCACATGACTTTTGCAGCAGAAATTTATTTATTTATAGAGAACTCTAAGTGTATAATTTTTTCTCCCCCAATAGAGTTTTTGTTAAAATCTACATATAAAAGACAAACAGTTTTTGAAAATATTAGATCAGACACTGACTTATGTTTAGGTTTTGAAGAATGCTGATATAGTGCTCGGAAACCAACTGAACTGAATTTTAAATCACTTTTGCATAGTTTACAGATTGCATATTCAGAGTTTCTTTTTTCGGCCCATAATTGGATTTTCACTAGATTTTTGTCTTTTTCAACTTTTCCAACCACGCATCATTCCACTTAACAATTATACTATATAATCTATTGATAAATATACTAAAAACTAAATATAAAAATCACTAACTTTACTAATTCTATACTATAGTATGATTTATTTTTTTAAATAATAACACCAATTTAGCAATACAAATGGATAATTAAAATTAAAATGGGAACATAAAAGATTGTAATTGTTATAATAAAATAGTTTTGAAAATTAAATAAAAAAACTAAGTAACATAACGTCTAAAACAACTTAAAAATATCAAAAACAGCAATTCGAAGTATTGAAAAAAAACTTTAAAGTGTAAAAAGTTCAAGATAACAATGAAAAAATGACAAAAACTGACAAAAAAAATAAAAAAAAAGAAGGAAAAAATAAAAAGAACCCCCCCAAAAAAATTAAAAACTGAAAAAAATGACGACTTGACAGCCTGTAAAATACAAGTCTTACATCACATTATTATGATTTTATTATTAAAATCAAAAATTCTAAAAAAGTCGTTATATTATAGTATCATTGACATTAATACATATTCATTCATAAAAAATTATGTCAAAGTGAAAACAACTATATCATCAATTCAATATTAGTTTAATGTTATATCGTATATATAAATCTTCCCCAACAATTCAACATATTTTGAATTTTTCTTTTAAAAATTGGAGTTGATTCCAGACACCCAAACACTCACATTTACGCAATCAATTAATCAAAATAATTAGCTAAATTTTATTTTTAAATAGTGTTTAGTTAAAAATTTTGATCAACTTTTAAATTTTTTATTTTTTTTTTAAACAAGAAATCACAATAAATCAATGTTTGGGTTTTTGACATATGGTTTTTATGATTTCAATCTTATTCGTTAAATGAAGGACTTCCGCATTCAAGTTCGAAATGTTTTTTAAACTAACACTGACGGATAGATTGATATTATATCGAGAAGAATCAAAGTCAGCAAATGCCTTGTTTGTTTGATGTGGAAAACAATTATCCACCTCCATGGGAGACTCGATTTCGTTTTCAACATCCATAAACATTGAAACATCCTCACACTCATGTGTACACATTTTTATGGCTACAAAAAAATCAGAATATATAATACAAGTCTTACATTACATTAAGATTATATTATTGAAAGAAAAAATTCCTAAAAAGTCGTTATAATATATGTTTTATTGACATTAATACATATTTATTCATGAAAAAATATGTCAAAATAATAACAACTGTATATCATTAATTTAATATATGTTTAATGTTATATCGCATATATAAATCTTCCTAAACAATTCAACATATTATGAATTTTTTTTCTTCAAATTGTGTTAAGTCAAATATTTTCATCAACTATTAAATTTTAAATGTTTGTTAAATATAAAGAAATCAAATTAGATCAGCTTTTAGATTTTTGGGTTTTTCCTCTTTGATTGCAAGCTTAGTCGTTCAATGATGTACAATCTCATTCAGGATCGAAATGCTTTTCAAACAAACATTGACTGATAAATTTGAACAATTTTTAGAGAATTCAAAGTAGGCAAAAACCTGTTCCATTTGCTGTTGAAAATATTGATCAACACCAATCATAAACTCATACTTCGGAATTTTATGTTCTTTCACATACTTAGGACAAGTAAAACAATTATTGGCGATTTCTATTCCATACACACAAAAATACATTTTATTGTGAGTAATTGATTCTTTGACATCCAATAAACAATCACATTTATGCAAATCAATTATTCAAACTAATTGGCTAAATTTTATTTTTAAATAGTGTTTAGTTAAATATTTGCATCAACTTTTAAATTTTACATTTTTGTTTAATAACAAGAAATCGCAATAGATCAATGTTTGGGTTCTAGACTATTTGCTTTTATGACTTCAATCTTATTCTTTAAATGTTGGACTTTCTCATTTAAGTTCAAAATGCTTCTTAAAGTAACACTGACTGATAGATTAAAACAATTTTGAAAAAAATCAATGTCAACAAATGACTTGTCCGTTTGATGTTGAAGATATTGATCGACATCCATCGGAGACCCACAATCGTGTTAATGTTGAAGACATTAATAAACATCCATCAGAGACTCACACTCATGTGTACATATTTTTATGGCTATAAAAAAAAGACAAAATATATAATACAAGTCTAACATTACATTAATATGATTATATTATCAAAATAAAAACATTCTAAAAAAAGTCATTATATTATAGTAGCATTGACATTATTATATATTCATTCATGAAAAATTATGTCAAAATAAAAACAACTATATCATCAATTCAATATTAGTTTAATGTTATATCGTATATATAAATCTTCGACAACAATTCAACATATTTTGAATTTTATTTTTTCAAATTGTGTTTAGTCAAATATTTTTATCAAGAACTGAATTTTAAATGTTTGTTAAATATAAAGAAATCACATTAAATCAGTTTTTAGATTTTCGAGATTTTTTTCTTTGATTTCAAGCTTAGTCGTTAAATGATGGACCATCTCATTTAAGTTCAAAATGTTTTTTAAACTAATATTGACTGACATATTCAAACAATTTTTAGAAAAATAAAAGTAGGCAAATGCCTTGTCCGCTTGCTGTTTAAATATTATTTAACGCCAATTGTAGACTCATACTTTGGTATTTCATGTGCTTTAACACACTTGTGAGCACTAAAACAAAAAATGGCGATTTCTTTTCCACACACACAAAAAATACATTTTATTGTGAGGAGTTGATTCTTTGACACCCAATAAACACTCACATTTATGCAAATCAATTTATCAAAATAATTAGCTAAATTTTATTTTTAAATAGTGTATAGTTTAAAATTTTTATTAACTTTTAAACTTTTGTTTTATAACAAGAAATCACAATAGATCAATGTTTGGGTTTTTGACTTTTGCTTTTTGATTTCAATCTTATTCGTTGAATGATAGACTTTCTTATTCAAGTTCGAAATGCTTTTCAAACTAACACTAACTGATAGATTTAAGCAATTATGAGAAAAATCAAAGTCTGCAAATGTCTTGATGTTGAAGACATTGATCGACATCCATTAGAGTCTCAGTTGTGTTGATGTTAAAAACATTGATCAACATCTATCAGAGACTCACACTCATGTGTACACATTTTTATGGCTACCAAAAAAAATCAGAATCTTTAATACAAGTCATACATTACATTAAGATAATTATATCATTGTAAAAAAAAATTCTAAAAAAGTCGTTATAATATATCTTCAATTAACATTAATACATGTTCATTCATAAAAAAATATGTCAACATAAAAACAAAATAAAAACAACTGTATCATCAATTCAATATTAAATTAATGTTATATCGTATATATAAATCTTCCTTAACAAATCAACATATTTTGAAACTTTTGTCGAATTGTCTTTAGCTAAATATTTTCATCAAGTATTAAACTTTAAATGATTGTTAAATATGATTAACATTAGATCAGTTTTGAGAATTTTGAGCTTTTCTTCTTCGATTTCAAGCTTAGTCGTTAAATGATGGACCATCTCATTCATATTCGAAATGCTTTTTAAACTAACATTGACTGAAAAAATCAAACAATTCATAGAAAATTAAAACTAGGCAAATGCCTTGACCTTTTCTTGTTGAAAATATTGATCAACGCCAACCGAAGACTCATACATAGGAATTTCATGTGTTTTAACACACTTGACATCTAAAACAATTCAAGGGGATTTTTTTTCCACACACACAAAAAATACATTTTATTGTGAGGAATTGATTCTTTGACATCTAATAAACACTCATAATAGTCCAAAGCAATTAATTAAATTAATTAACTAAGTTTTATTTTTAAATAGCGTATAGTTAAATATTTTCATCAACTATTAAATTAAAAAATTTTGTTTTATAACAAAAAATTACATTAGATCAATGTTTGGCTTTTTGACGTTTGCTTGTATGATTTCTATCTTCTTCGTTAAATAATGGATTTTTTCATTTAAGTTTGCATTGCTTTTCAGACTAACACTGACTGATATATTAAAACAATTTGGAGAAAAATTAAAATCAGCAAATCCCTTGTCTGTTTGTTGAAAACATTGATCGACGTCCATCGGAGTCTCCCAGTCGTGTTGGTCTTGAAGATATTGATCAACATCCATTGGAGAATTACACTCATGTGTACACATTTTAAGGCTACAAAATAAAAAAAAAAATCAGAATCTATAATACAAGTCTTACATTACATTAATATGATTATATTATTAAAAAAAAATTCTAAAAAAATTCGTTATAATATATGTTTCATTGACATTAATACATAATCATTCAAAAAAAAACATGTCAAAATAAAAACAAAAAAAAAAACAGCTATATCATCAATTTAATTTTAGTTTATTGTTATATCGTTTATATAAATCTCCTCTACAACTCCACATATTTTGAAATTTTTTTTTTTAAATTGTCTTTAGTCAAATATTTTCATCAAGTATTAAACTTTAAATGTTTGTTAAATATGAAGAAATAACATTAGATCAGTTTTGAGATTTTTGAGCTTTTCTTCTTCGATTTCAAGCTTAGTCGTTAAATGTGGGACCATCTCATTCATGTTCAAAATGCTTTTTAAACTAACATTGACTGACAAAATCAAACAATTCATAGAAAATTAAAACTAGGCAAATGCCTTGACCTTTTCTTGTTGAAAATATTGATCAACGCCAACCGAAGACTCATACATAGGAATTTCATGTGTTTTAACATACTTGACATCTAAAACAATTCAAGGGGATTTTTTTTCCACACACACAAAAAATACATTTTATTGTGAGGAATTGATTCTTTGACATCTAATAAACACTCATAATAGTCCAAAGCAATTAATTAAATTAATTAACTAAATTTTATTTTTAAATAGCGTATAGTTAAATATTTTCATCAACTATTAAATTAAAAAATTTTGTTTTATAACAAAAAATTACATTAGATCAATGTTTGGCTTTTTGACGTTTGCTTGTATGATTTCTATCTTCTTCGTTAAATAATGGATTTTTTCATTTAAGTTTGCATTGCTTTTCAGACTAACACTGACTGATATATTAAAACAATTTGGAGAAAAATTAAAATCAGCAAATCCCTTGTCTGTTTGTTGAAAACATTGATCGACGTCCATCGGAGTCTCCCAGTCGTGTTGGTCTTGAAGATATTGATCAACATCCATTGGAGAATTACACTCATGTGTACACATTTTAAGGCTACAAAATAAAAAAAAAAATCAGAATCTATAATACAAGTCTTACATTACATTAATATGATTATATTATTAAAAAAAAATTCTAAAAAAATTCGTTATAATATATGTTTCATTGACATTAATACATAATCATTCAAAAAAAAACATGTCAAAATAAAAACAAAAAAAAAAAACAACTATATCATCAATTTAATTTTAGTTTATTGTTATATCGTTTATATAAATCTCCTCTACAACTCCACATATTTTGAAATTTTTTTTTTTAAATTGTCTTTAGTCAAATATTTTCATCAAGTATTAAACTTTAAATGTTTGTTAAATATGAAGAAATAACATTAGATCAGTTTTGAGATTTTTGAGCTTTTCTTCTTCGATTTCAAGCTTAGTCGTTAAATGTGGGACCATCTCATTCATGTTCAAAATGCTTTTTAAACTAACATTGACTGACAAAATCAAACAATTCATAGAAAATTAAAACTAGGCAAATGCCTTGACCTTTTCTTGTTGAAAATATTGATCAACGCCAACCGAAGACTCATACATAGGAATTTCATGTGTTTTAACATACTTGACATCTAAAACAATTCAAGGGGATTTTTTTTCCACACACACAAAAAATACATTTTATTGTGAGGAATTGATTCTTTGACATCTAATAAACACTCATAATAGTCCAAAGCAATTAATTAAATTAATTAACTAAATTTTATTTTTATATAGCGTATAGTTAAATATTTTCATCAACTATTAAATTAAAAAATTTTGTTTTATAACAAAAAATTACATTAGATCAATGTTTGGCTTTTTGACGTTTGCTTGTATGATTTCTATCTTCTTCGTTAAATAATGGATTTTTTCATTTAAGTTTGCATTGCTTTTCAGACTAACACTGACTGATATATTAAAACAATTTGGAGAAAAATTAAAATCAGCAAATCCCTTGTCTGTTTGTTGAAAACATTGATCGACGTCCATCGGAGTCTCCCAGTCGTGTTGGTCTTGAAGATATTGATCAACATCCATTGGAGAATTACACTCATGTGTACACATTTTAAGGCTACAAAATAAAAAAAAAAATCAGAATCTATAATACAAGTCTTACATTACATTAATATGATTATATTATTAAAAAAAAATTCTAAAAAAATTCGTTATAATATATGTTTCATTGACATTAATACATAATCATTCAAAAAAAAACATGTCAAAATAAAAACAAAAAAAAAAAACAACTATATCATCAATTTAATTTTAGTTTATTGTTATATCGTTTATATAAATCTCCTCTACAACTCCACATATTTTGAAATTTTTTTTTTTAAATTGTCTTTAGTCAAATATTTTCATCAAGTATTAAACTTTAAATGTTTGTTAAATATGAAGAAATAACATTAGATCAGTTTTGAGATTTTTGAGCTTTTCTTCTTCGATTTCAAGCTTAGTCGTTAAATGTGGGACCATCTCATTCATGTTCAAAATGCTTTTTAAACTAACATTGACTGACAAAATCAAACAATTCATAGAAAATTAAAACTAGGCAAATGCCTTGACCTTTTCTTGTTGAAAATATTGATCAACGCCAACCGAAGACTCATACATAGGAATTTCATGTGTTTTAACATACTTGACATCTAAAACAATTCAAGGGGATTTTTTTTCCACACACACAAAAAATACATTTTATTGTGAGGAATTGATTCTTTGACATCTAATAAACACTCATAATAGTCCAAAGCAATTAATTAAATTAATTAACTAAATTTTATTTTTAAATAGCGTATAGTTAAATATTTTCATCAACTATTAAATTAAAAAATTTTGTTTTATAACAAAAAATTACATTAGATCAATGTTTGGCTTTTTGACGTTTGCTTGTATGATTTCTATCTTCTTCGTTAAATAATGGATTTTTTCATTTAAGTTTGCATTGCTTTTCAGACTAACACTGACTGATATATTAAAACAATTTGGAGAAAAATTAAAATCAGCAAATCCCTTGTCTGTTTGTTGAAAACATTGATCGACGTCCATCGGAGTCTCCCAGTCGTGTTGGTCTTGAAGATATTGATCAACATCCATTGGAGAATTACACTCATGTGTACACATTTTAAGGCTACAAAATAAAAAAAAAAATCAGAATCTATAATACAAGTCTTACATTACATTAATATGATTATATTATTAAAAAAAAATTCTAAAAAAATTCGTTATAATATATGTTTCATTGACATTAATACATAATCATTCAAAAAAAAACATGTCAAAATAAAAACAAAAAAAAAACAACTATATCATCAATTTAATTTTAGTTTATTGTTATATCGTTTATATAAATCTCCTCTACAACTCCACATATTTTGAAATTTTTTTTTTTAAATTGTCTTTAGTCAAATATTTTCATCAAGTATTAAACTTTAAATGTTTGTTAAATATGAAGAAATAACATTAGATCAGTTTTGAGATTTTTGAGCTTTTCTTCTTCGATTTCAAGCTTAGTCGTTAAATGTGGGACCATCTCATTCATGTTCAAAATGCTTTTTAAACTAACATTGACTGACAAAATCAAACAATTCATAGAAAATTAAAACTAGGCAAATGCCTTGACCTTTTCTTGTTGAAAATATTGATCAACGCCAACCGAAGACTCATACATAGGAATTTCATGTGTTTTAACATACTTGACATCTAAAACAATTCAAGGGGATTTTTTTTCCACACACACAAAAAATACATTTTATTGTGAGGAATTGATTCTTTGACATCTAATAAACACTCATAATAGTCCAAAGCAATTAATTAAATTAATTAACTAAATTTTATTTTTAAATAGCGTATAGTTAAATATTTTCATCAACTATTAAATTAAAAAATTTTGTTTTATAACAAAAAATTACATTAGATCAATGTTTGGCTTTTTGACGTTTGCTTGTATGATTTCTATCTTCTTCGTTAAATAATGGATTTTTTCATTTAAGTTTGCATTGCTTTTCAGACTAACACTGACTGATATATTAAAACAATTTGGAGAAAAATTAAAATCAGCAAATCCCTCGTCTGTTTGTTGAAAACATTGATCGACGTCCATCGGAGTCTCCCAGTCGTGTTGGTCTTGAAGATATTGATCAACATCCATTGGAGAATTACACTCATGTGTACACATTTTAAGGCTACAAAATAAAAAAAAAAATCAGAATCTATAATACAAGTCTTACATTACATTAATATGATTATATTATTAAAAAAAAATTCTAAAAAAATTCGTTATAATATATGTTTCATTGACATTAATACATAATCATTCAAAAAAAAACATGTCAAAATAAAAACAAAAAAAAAAAACAACTATATCATCAATTTAATTTTAGTTTATTGTTATATCGTTTATATAAATCTCCTCTACAACTCCACATATTTTGAAATTTTTTTTTTTAAATTGTCTTTAGTCAAATATTTTCATCAAGTATTAAACTTTAAATGTTTGTTAAATATGAAGAAATAACATTAGATCAGTTTTGAGATTTTTGAGCTTTTCTTCTTCGATTTCAAGCTTAGTCGTTAAATGTGGGACCATCTCATTCATGTTCAAAATGCTTTTTAAACTAACATTGACTGACAAAATCAAACAATTCATAGAAAATTAAAACTAGGCAAATGCCTTGACCTTTTCTTGTTGAAAATATTGATCAACGCCAACCGAAGACTCATACATAGGAATTTCATGTGTTTTAACATACTTGACATCTAAAACAATTCAAGGGGATTTTTTTTCCACACACACAAAAAATACATTTTATTGTGAGGAATTGATTCTTTGACATCTAATAAACACTCATAATAGTCCAAAGCAATTAATTAAATTAATTAACTAAATTTTATTTTTAAATAGCGTATAGTTAAATATTTTCATCAACTATTAAATTAAAAAATTTTGTTTTATAACAAAAAATTACATTAGATCAATGTTTGGCTTTTTGACGTTTGCTTGTATGATTTCTATCTTCTTCGTTAAATAATGGATTTTTTCATTTAAGTTTGCATTGCTTTTCAGACTAACACTGACTGATATATTAAAACAATTTGGAGAAAAATTAAAATCAGCAAATCCCTTGTCTGTTTGTTGAAAACATTGATCGACGTCCATCGGAGTCTCCCAGTCGTGTTGGTCTTGAAGATATTGATCAACATCCATTGGAGAATTACACTCATGTGTACACATTTTAAGGCTACAAAATAAAAAAAAAAATCAGAATCTATAATACAAGTCTTACATTACATTAATATGATTATATTATTAAAAAAAAATTCTAAAAAAATTCGTTATAATATATGTTTCATTGACATTAATACATAATCATTCAAAAAAAAACATGTCAAAATAAAAACAAAAAAAAAACAACTATATCATCAATTTAATTTTAGTTTATTGTTATATCGTTTATATAAATCTCCTCTACAACTCCACATATTTTGAAATTTTTTTTTTTAAATTGTCTTTAGTCAAATATTTTCATCAAGTATTAAACTTTAAATGTTTGTTAAATATGAAGAAATAACATTAGATCAGTTTTGAGATTTTTGAGCTTTTCTTCTTCGATTTCAAGCTTAGTCGTTAAATGTGGGACCATCTCATTCATGTTCAAAATGCTTTTTAAACTAACATTGACTGACAAAATCAAACAATTCATAGAAAATTAAAACTAGGCAAATGCCTTGACCTTTTCTTGTTGAAAATATTGATCAACGCCAACCGAAGACTCATACATAGGAATTTCATGTGTTTTAACATACTTGACATCTAAAACAATTCAAGGGGATTTTTTTTCCACACACACAAAAAATACATTTTATTGTGAGGAATTGATTCTTTGACATCTAATAAACACTCATAATAGTCCAAAGCAATTAATTAAATTAATTAACTAAATTTTATTTTTAAATAGCGTATAGTTAAATATTTTCATCAACTATTAAATTAAAAAATTTTGTTTTATAACAAAAAATTACATTAGATCAATGTTTGGCTTTTTGACGTTTGCTTGTATGATTTCTATCTTCTTCGTTAAATAATGGATTTTTTCATTTAAGTTTGCATTGCTTTTCAGACTAACACTGACTGATATATTAAAACAATTTGGAGAAAAATTAAAATCAGCAAATCCCTCGTCTGTTTGTTGAAAACATTGATCGACGTCCATCGGAGTCTCCCAGTCGTGTTGGTCTTGAAGATATTGATCAACATCCATTGGAGAATTACACTCATGTGTACACATTTTAAGGCTACAAAATAAAAAAAAAAATCAGAATCTATAATACAAGTCTTACATTACATTAATATGATTATATTATTAAAAAAAAATTCTAAAAAAATTCGTTATAATATATGTTTCATTGACATTAATACATAATCATTCAAAAAAAAACATGTCAAAATAAAAACAAAAAAAAAACAACTATATCATCAATTTAATTTTAGTTTATTGTTATATCGTTTATATAAATCTCCTCTACAACTCCACATATTTTGAAATTTTTTTTTTTAAATTGTCTTTAGTCAAATATTTTCATCAAGTATTAAACTTTAAATGTTTGTTAAATATGAAGAAATAACATTAGATCAGTTTTGAGATTTTTGAGCTTTTCTTCTTCGATTTCAAGCTTAGTCGTTAAATGTGGGACCATCTCATTCATGTTCAAAATGCTTTTTAAACTAACATTGACTGACAAAATCAAACAATTCATAGAAAATTAAAACTAGGCAAATGCCTTGACCTTTTCTTGTTGAAAATATTGATCAACGCCAACCGAAGACTCATACATAGGAATTTCATGTGTTTTAACATACTTGACATCTAAAACAATTCAAGGGGATTTTTTTTCCACACACACAAAAAATACATTTTATTGTGAGGAATTGATTCTTTGACATCTAATAAACACTCATAATAGTCAAAAGCAATTAATTAAATTAATTAACTAAGTTTTATTTTTAAATAGCGTATAGTTAAATATTTTCATCAACTATTAAATTAAAAAATTTTGTTTTATAACAAAAAATTACATTAGATCAATGTTTGGCTTTTTGACGTTTGCTTGTATGATTTCTATCTTCTTCGTTAAACAATGGATTTTTTCATTTAAGTTTGCATTGCTTTTCAGACTAACACTGACTGATATATTAAAACAATTTGGAGAAAAATTAAAATCAGCAAATCCCTTGTCTGTTTGTTGAAAACATTGATCGACGTCCATCGGAGTCTCCCAGTCGTGTTGGTCTTGAAGATATTGACCAACATCCATTAGAGAATTACACTCATGTGTACACATTTTAAGGCTACAAAATAAAAAAAAAAATCAGAATCTATAATACAAGTCTTACATTACATTAATATGATTATATTATTAAAAAAAAATTCTAAAAAAATTCGTTATAATATATGTTTCATTGACATTGATAAATAACCATTCATAAAAAAAAAAAAATATATTTCATATATATATAATATATATTTTATAATATATATATTTATAAATTTTATATTATATAATATTGATATATATTTTATAATATTATATAATATATATTTCATATCATTGACATTAATAAATTGACATTGACAATATCATTAACATTAATAAATATTTATTTATGAAAAAATATGTCAAAACAAAAACAAACTAAAAACAACTATATCATCAATTCAATATTAGTTTAACGTATATTGTATATATAAATCTTGCTCAACAATTCAATATATTTTGAATTTTTTTTTTACTGTCTTTATTCAAATATTTTTATCAAGTATTAAACTTTAAATGTTTGTTAAAAATGAAGAAATCACATTAGATCAGTTTTGAGATTTTTGAGCTTTTCTTCTTTGATTTCAAGCTTAGTCGTTAAATGATGGACGATCTCATTCATGTTCGAAATGCTTTTTAAACTAACATCGACTAACAAAATCAAACAATTCATAGAAAATTAAAACTAGGCAAATGCCTTGTCCTTTTGCTGTTAAAGATATTGATCAACGCCAATCGAAGACTCATACATAGGCATTTCATGTGTTTTAACATACTTGACAACTAAAACAATTAATGGAGATTTTTTTTCCACACACACAAAAAAAACATTTTATTATGAGGAATTGAATCTTTGATATCTTATAAACACTCATAATAGACCAAATCAATTAATCAAAATTATTAACTAAATTTTATTCTTAAATAGTGTATAGTTAAAGATTTTTATCAACTTTTAAATTAAAATTTTTTGTTTTATAACAAAAAATTACATAAGATCAATGTTTGGGTTTTAGACATTTGCTTGTATGATTTCTATCTTCTTCGTTAAATAATGGACTTTTTCATTTAAGTTTGCATTGCTTTTCAAACTAACACTAACAGTTATATTTAAATAATTTGGAGAAAAATCAAAATCAGCAAATCCCTTGTCTGTTTGTTAAAAACATTGATCGACGTCCTTCGGAGCCTCCCAGTCGTGTTGGTCTTGAAGATATTGACCAACATCCATTGGAGAATTAGACTAATGTGTAAACATTTTTATGGCTACAAAAAAAAAATCAGAATCTATAATACAAGTCTTACATTACATTAAGGTGATTATATTATTAAAATAAAATTCTAAAAAATTCGTTATAATATATGTTTCATTGACATTGATACATAATCATTTTTAAAAAAATATATATTTTATATATATATAATATATATTTTATAATATATATATTTATATATCTTATATTATATAATATTAATATATATTTTATAATAATATATAATATATATTTGATTAATTAAAACATTAAAAAATTGACAATGACAATATCATTGACATAAATAAATATTTATTTATGAATAAATATGTCAAAATAAAAACAAACTAAAAACAACTATATCATCAATTCAATATTAGTTTAACGTATATTGTATATATAAATCTAGCTCAACAATTCAATATATTTTGAAATTTTTTTCAATTGTCTTTATTCAAATATTTTTATCAAGTATTAAACTTGAAATGTTTGTTAAATATGAAGAAATCACATTAGATCAGTTTTGAGATTTTTGAGCTTTTCTTCTTTGATTTCAAGCTTAGTCGTTAAATGATGGACCATCTCATTCATGTTCGGAATGCTTTTTAAACTAACATTGACTGACAAAATCAAACAATTCATAGAAAGTTAAAACTAGGCAAATACCTAGTCCTTTTGCTGTTAAAAATATTGATCAACGCCAATCGAAGACTCATACATAGCCATTTCATGTGTTTTAACATACTTGACAACTAAAACAATTAATGGGGATTTTTTTTCCACCCACACAAAAAATACATTTTATTGTGAGAAATTGATTCTTTGACATCTAATAAACACTCACAATAGTCCAAATCAATTAATCAAAATAAGTAACTAAATTTTATTTTTAAATAGTGTATAGTTAAATAATTTTATCAATTTTTAAATCAAAAACTTTTGTTTTATAACAAAAAATTACATTAGATCAATGTTTGAGTTTTTGATGTTTGCTTGTATGATTTCTATCTTCTTCGTTAAATAATGGATTTTCTCATTTAAGTTTGCATTGCTTTTCAAACTAACACTGACTGATATATTAAAACAATTTGGAGAAAAATCAAAGTCAGCAAATCCGTTGTCTGTTTGTTGAAGACATCAATTGACATCCATTGGAGTCTATTAGTCGTGTTGCTCTTGAAGATATTTATCAACATCCATTGGAGAATTACACTCATGTGTATACATTTTTATGGCTACAAAAAAAACAACAGAATCTATAATACAAGTCCTACATTACATTAAGATGATTACATTATTAAAAAAAAATTCTGAAAAATTCGTTATAATATATGTTTCATTGACATTGATACATAATCATTCATTAAAAAAATATGTTAAAATAAAAACAAAATAAAAACAACTATATCATCAATTTAATTTTAGTTTATTGTTATATCGTATATATAAATCTCCTTAACAAATCCACATATTTTGAAAGTTTTTTTTCAAATTGTCTTTAGTCAAATATTTTCATCAAGTATTAAACTTTAAATATTTGTTAAATATGAAGAAAGGTAATTATATTATAAAAAAAAATTTAAAAAAAATCGTTATAATATATGTTTCATTGACATTGATACATAATCATTCATAAAAAAATATATAATTTTTATATATATAATACATATTTTACAATATATATATTTATATATTTTATATTATATAATATTAATATATTTTATAATAATATATAATATATATTTGATATCATTGACATTAATAAATTGACATTGACAATATCATTGACATTAATAAATATTTATATATAAAAAAATATGTCAAAATAAAAACAAACTAAAAGCAACTATATCATCAATTCAATATTAGTTTAACGTTTATTGTATATATAAATCTTGCTCAATAATTCAATATATTTTGAATTTTTTTTTAATTGTCTTTATTCAAATATTTTTATCAAGTATTAAACTTTAAATGTTTGTTAAATATGAAGAAATCACATTAGATCAGTTTTGAGATTTTTGAGCTTTTCTTCTTTGATTTCAAGCTTAGTCGTTAAATGATGGACCATCTCATTCATGTTCGAAATGCTTTTTAAACTAACATTGACTAACAAAATCAAACAATTCATAGAAAATTAAAACTAGGCAAATGCCTTGTCCTTTTGCTGTTAAAGATATTGATCAAGGCCAATCGAAGACTCATACATAGACATTTCATGTGATTTAACATACTTGACCACTAAAACAATAATGGAGAGTTTTTTTCCACACACACAAAAAAAACATTTTATTATGAGGAATTGATTCTTTGATATCTTATAAACACTCATAATAGTCCAAATCAAATAATCAAAATTATTAACTAAATTTTATTCTTAAATAGTGTATAGTTAAATATTTTTATCAACTTTAAAATTAAAAAATTTTGTTTTAGAACAAAAAATTACATAAGATCAATGTTTGGATTTTAGACGTTTGCTTGTATGATTTCTATCTTCTTCGTTAAATAATGGACTTTTTCATTTAAGTTTGCATTGCTTTTCAAACTAACACTAACAGTTATATGTAAATAATTTGGAGAAAAATTAAAATCAGCAAATCCCTTGTCTGTTTGTTAAAAACATTTATCGACGTTTATCAGAGTCTTCCAGTCGTGTTGGTCTTGAAGATATTGATCAACATCCATTGGAGAATTACACTCATGTGTTTACATTTTTAAAGCTACAAAAAAAAAAAATCAGAATCTATAATACAAGTCTTACATTACATTAAGATGATTATGTTATTGAAAAAAAATTCTAAAAAATTCGTTATAATTTATGTTTCATTGACATTAATACATAATCATTCAAAAAAAAATATGTCAAAATAAAAACAAAAAAAAAACAACTATATCATCAATTTAATTTTAGTTTATTGTTATATCGTATATATAAATCTCCTTAACAAATCCACATATTTTGAAAGTTTTTTTTCAAATTGTCTTTAGTCAAATATTTTCATCAAGTATTAAACTTTAAATGTTTGTTAAATATGAAGAAAGGTAATTATATTATAAAAAAAATTTTGAAAAAATTCGTTATAATATATGTTTCATTGACATTGATACATAATCATTCATAAAAAAATATATAATTTTTATATATATAATATATATTTTATAATATATATATTTATATATTTTATATTATATAATATTAATATATATTTTATAATAATATATAATATATATTTGATTAATTAAAACATTAAAAAATTGACAATGACAATATCATTGACATTAATAAATATTTATTAATGAAAAAATATGTCAAAATAAAAACAAACTAAAAACAACTATATCATCAAATCAATATTAGTTTAACGAATATTGTATATATAAATCTTGCTCAACAATTCAATATATTTTGAATTTTTTTTTTATTGTCTTTATTCAAATATTTTTATCAAGTATTAAACTTTAAATGTTTGTTAAATATGAAGAAATCACATTAGATCAGTTTTGAGATTTTTGAGCTTTTCTTCTTTGATTTCAAGCTTAGTTGTTAAATGATGGACCATCTCATTCATGTTCGAAATGCTTTTTAAACTAACATTGACTGACAAAATCAAACAATTCATAGAAAGTTAAAACTAGGCAAATGCCTTTTCCTTTTGCTGTTAAAGATATTGATCAACGCTAATCGAAGACTCATACATAGGCATTTCATGTGTTTTAACATACTTGACAACTAAAACAATTAATAGGGATTTTTTTTTCACACACACAAAAAATACATTTTATTGTGAGGACTTGATTTTTTGACATCTAATAAACACTCACAATAGTTCAAGTAAATTAATGAAAATAATAAACCAAATTTTATTTTTAAGTAGTGTCTAGTTAAATATTTTCATCAACTTTTAAATTAAAATTTTTTGTTTTATAACAAAAAATTATATTAGATTAATGTTTGGGTTTTTGACAATTGCTTGTATGATTTTTATCTTCGTTAAATAATGGACTTTCTCATTTAAGTTTGCATTGCTTTTCAAACTAACACTGACTGATATATTAAAACAATTTAGAGAAAAATCAAAGTCAGCAAATCCCTTGTCTGTTTGTTGAAGACATTGATTGACATTCATTGGAGTCTATTAGTTGTGTTGCTCTTGAAGATATTGTTCAACATCCATTGAAAAATTACACACATGTGTATACATTTTTATGACTACAAAAAAAAAAATCAGAATCTATAATACAAGTCTTACATTACATTAAGATGATTATATTATTAAAAAAAAATTCTAAAAAATTCGTTATAATATGTTTCATTGATATTGATACATAGTCATTCATAAAAAAATATATATTTTATATATATACAATATATATTTTATAATATATATATTTATATATTTTATATTATATAATATTAATATATATTTTATAATAACATATAATATATATTTGATATCATTGACATTAAAAAATTGACATTGACAATATCATTGACATTATTAAATATTTATTTATGAAAAAATATGTCAAAATAAAAACAAACTAAAAACAACTATATCATCAATTTAATTTTAGTTTATTGTTATATCGTATATATAAATCTCCTCAACAACTCCACATATTTTAAAATTTTTTTTTCAAATTGTCTTTAGTCAAATATTTTCATTAAGTATTAAACTTTAAATGTTTGTTAAATATGAAGAAATCACATTAGATCAGTTTTGAGATTTTTGAGCTTTTCTTCTTTGATTTCAAGCTTAGTCAATAAATGATGGACCATCTCATTCATGTTCGAAATGCTTTTGAAACTAACATTGACTGACAAAATCAAACAATTCATAGAAAATTAAAACTAGGCAAATACCTTGTCCTTTTGCTGTTAAAAATATTGATCAACGCCAATCGAAGACTCATATATAGGCATTTCATGTGTTTTAACATACTTGACAACTAAAACAATTAATGGGGATTTTTTTTCCACACACACAAAAAATACATTTTATTGTGAGAAATTGATTCTTTGACATATAATAAACACTCACAATAGTCCAAATCAATTAATCAAAATAATTAACTAAATTTTATTTTTAAATAGTGTATAGTTAAATAATTTTATCAATTTTCAAATCAAAAATTTTTGTTTTATAACAAAAAATTACATTAGATCAATGTTTGGGTTTTTGATGTTTGCTTGTATGATTTCTATCTTCTTCGTTAAATAATGGATTTTCTTATTTAAGTTTGCATTGCTTTTCAAACTAACACTGACTGATATATTAAAACAATTGGGAGAAAAATCAAAGTCAGCAAATCCCTTGTCTGTTTGTTGAAGACATCAATTGACATCCATTGGAGTCTATTAGTCGTGTTGCTCTTGAAGATATTGATCAACATCCATTGGAGAATTACACTCATGTGTATACATTTTTATGGCTACAAAAAAAAAAAACAGAATCTATAATACAAGTCCTACATTACATTAAGATGATTATATTATTAAAAAAAAATTCTAAAAAATTCGTTATAATATATGTTTTATTGACATTGATACATAATCATTCATTAAAAAAATATGTTAAAATAAAAACAAAATAAAAACAACTATATCATCCATTTAATTTTAGTTTATTGTTATATCGTATATATAAATCTCCTTAACAACTCCACATATTTTGAAATTTTTTTTCAAATTGTCTTTAGTCAAATATTTTCATCAACTATTAAACTATAAATATTTGTTAAATATGAAGAAAGGTAATTATATTATAAAAAAAAATTTAAAAAAATTCGTTATAATATATGTTTCATTGACATTGATACATAATCATTCATAAAAAAATATATAGTTTTTATATATATAATATATATTTTATAATATATATATTTATATATTTTATATTATATAATATTAATATATATTTTATAATAATATATAATATATATTTGATTAATTAAAACATTAAAAAATTGACAATGACAATATCATTGACATTAATAAATATTTATTTATGAAAAAATATGTCAAAATAAAAACAAACTAAAAACAACTATATCATCAATTCAATATTAGTTTAACGAATATTGTATATATAAATCTTGCTCAACAATTCAATATATTTTGAATTTTTTTTTTATTGTCTTTATTCAAATATTTTTATCAAGTATTAAACTTTAAATGTTTGTTAAATATGAAGAAATCACATTAGATCAGTTTTGAGATTTTTGAGCTTTTCTTCTTTGATTTCAAGCTTAGTTGTTAAATGATGGACCATCTCATTCATGTTCGAAATGCTTTTTAAACTAACATTGACTAACAAAATCAAACAATTCATAGAAAATTAAAACTAGGCAAATGCCTTGTCCTTTTGCTGTTAAAGATATTGATCAAGGCCAATCGAAGACTCATACATAGACATTTCATGTGATTTAACATACTTGACCACTAAAACAATAATGGAGAGTTTTTTTCCACACACACAAAAAAAACATTTTATTATGAGGAATTGATTCTTTGATATCTTATAAACACTCATAATAGTCCAAATCAAATAATCAAAATTATTAACTAAATTTTATTCTTAAATAGTGTATAGTTAAATATTTTTATCAACTTTTAAATTAAAAAATTTTGTTTTATAACAAAAAATTACATAAGATCAATGTTTGGATTTTAGACGTTTGCTTGTATGATTTCTATCTTCTTCGTTAAATAATGGACTTTTTCATTTAAGTTTGCATTGCTTTTCAAACTAACACTAACAGTTATATGTAAATAATTTGGAGAAAAATTAAAATCAGCAAATCCCTTGTCTGTTTGTTAAAAACATTTATCGACGTTTATCAGAGTCTTCCAGTCGTGTTGGTCTTGAAGATATTGATCAACATCCATTGGAGAATTACACTCATGTGTTTACATTTTTAAAGCTACAAAAAAAAAAAATCAGAATCTATAATACAAGTCTTACATTACATTAAGATGATTATGTTATTGAAAAAAAATTCTAAAAAATTCGTTATAATATATGTTTCATTGACATTAATACATAATCATTCAAAAAAAAATATGTCAAAATAAAAACAAAAAAAAAACAACTATATCATCAATTTAATTTTAGTTTATTGTTATATCGTATATATAAATCTCCTCAACAACTCCACATATTTTGAAATTTTATTTTTAAATTGTCTTTAGTCAAATATTTTCATCGAGTATTAAACTTTAAATGTTTGTTAAATATGAAGAAATAACATTAGATCAGTTTTGAGATTTTTGAGCTTTTCTTCTTCGATTTCAAGCTTAGTCGTTAAATGATGGACCATCTCATTCATACTCGAAATGCTTTTTAAACTAACAATAGTCCAAATTAATTAATCAAAATAATTAACTAAATTTTATTTTTAAATATTGTATAGTTAAATATTTTTATCAACTTTTAAATCAAAAATTTTTGTTTTATAACAAAAAATTACATTAGATCAATGTTTGGCTTTTTGAGGTTTGCTTGTATGATTTCTATCTTCTTCGTTAAATAATGGACTTTTTCATTTAAGTTTGCATTGCTTTTCAAACTAACACTAACAGTTATATTTAAATTATTTGGAGAAAAATTAAAATCAGCAAATCCCTTGTCTGTTTGTTGAAAACATTGATCGACGTCCATCGGAGCCTCCCAGTCGTGTTGGTCTTGAAGATATTGATCAACATCCATTGGAGAATTACACTAATGTGTAAACATTTTTATGGCTACAAAAAAAAAATCAGAATCTATAATACAAGTCTTACATTACATTAAGGTGATTATATTATTAAAATAAAATCCTAAAATATTCGTTATAATATATGTTTTATTGACATTGATACATAACCATTCATAAAAAAAAAATATATATTTCATATATATATAATATATATTTTATAATATATATATTTATAAATTTTATATTATATAATATTGATATATATTTTATAATATTATATAATATATATTTGATATCATTGACATTAATAAATTGACATTGACAATATCATTAACATTAATAAATATTTATTTATGAAAAAATATGTCAAAACAAAAACAAACTAAAAACAACTATATCATCAATTCAATATTAGTTTAACGTATATTGTATATATAAATCTTGCTCAACAATTCAATATATTTTGAATTTTTTTTTTACTGTCTTTATTCAAATATTTTTATCAAGTATTAAACTTTAAATGTTTGTTAAATATGAAGAAATCACATTAGATTAGTTTTGAGATTTTTGAGCTTTTCTTCTTTGATTTCAAGCTTAGTCGTTAAATGATGGACCATCTCATTCATGTTCGAAATGCTTTTTAAACTAACATCGACTAACAAAATCAAACAATTCATAGAAAATTAAAACTAGGCAAATGCCTTGTCCTTTTGCTGTTAAAGATATTGATCAACGCCAATCGAAGACTCATACATAGGCATTTCATGTGATTTAACATACTTGACCACTAAAACAATAATGGAGAGTTTTTTTCCACACACACAAAAAAAACATTTTATTATGAGGAATTGATTCTTTGATATCTTATAAACACTCATAATAGTCCAAATCAAATAATCAAAATTATTAACTAAATTTTATTCTTAAATAGTGTATAGTTAAATATTTTTATCAACTTTTAAATTAAAATTTTTTGTTTTATAACAAAAAATTACATAAGATCAATGTTTGGGTTTTAGACGTTTGCTTGTATGATTCCTATCTTCTTCGTTAAATAATGGACTTTTTCATTTAAGTTTGCATTGCTTTTCAAACTAACACTAACAGTTATATTCAAATAATTTGGAGAAAAATCAAAATCAGCAAATCCCTTGTCTGTTTGTTGAAAACATTGATTGACATATATCGGAGTCTCCCAGTCGTGTTGGTCTTGAATATATTGATCAACATCCATTGGAGAATTACACTCATGTGTATACATTTTTATGGCTACAAAAAAAATTAGAATCTATAATACAAGTCTTACATTACATTAAGATGATTATATTATAAAAAAAAAAATTCTAAAAAATTCGTTATAATATATGTTTTATTGACATTGATACATAATCATTCATTAAAAAAATGTCAAAATAAAAATAAAATAAAAACAACTATATCATCAATTTAATTTTAGTTTATTGTTATATCGTATATATAAATCTCCTCAACAACTCCACATATTTTGAAATTTTTTTTTTAAATTGTCTTTAGTCAAATATTTTCATCAAGTATTAAACTTTAAATGTTTGTTAAATATGAAGAAATAACATTAGATCAGTTTTGAGATTTTGAGCTTTTCTTCTTCGATTTCAAGCTTAGTCGTTAAATGATGGACCATCTCATTCATGTTCGAAATGCTTTTTAAACTATCATTGACTGACAAAATCAAACAATTTATAGAAAATTAAAACTAGGTAAATGCCTTGTCCTTTTGCTAAAGATATTGATAAATACCAATCGGAGACTTATACATAGGTTTTTCATGTGCTTTAACATACTTATGAGCACTAAAACAAATAATAACAATTTCTTTTAATCACACAAAAAGTACATTTTATTGTGAGGAATTGATTCTTTGACATACATTAAACACTTACAATTGCCAAAATAAATTAATCAAAAATAATTAGCTAAATTTTATTTTCAAATAGTGGTTAGTTAAATATATTAATAAACTTTTTAATTTAAATTTTTGTTCTGATGGTAACAAAAAATTACTTTAGATTAATGATTGGTTTTTTGACTTTTTTTTTTATGATTTGAATTTTATACGATAAGTGATGGACTTTTTATTTAAGATTGAAATGCTTTTTAAAACAACACTGACTGATAGAGTTAAATAATTTTTAGAAAAATCAAAGTCTGCAAATGCCTTGTTTGTTTGATGTTGAAGATATTGATTGACATTCATTGGAGACTCACAGTCGTGCATTTTATGTCTCTTGACATACTTATAACAGCGAAAACATTTGATGGCGATTTCTTTTTCACACACACAAAAAGTACATTTGGGTGTGAGGAAGTGATTCTTGGACATCTATTTAACACTCACAATTGTGAATTTCATTTGCCTTGACATACTTATGGCAACTAACACATTATAACTCTATTTGTTTTTCACACAAAAAACACACTTCAGATTGAGGAAAGGGGTCTTCAACATCTATTAAAGACTCACATTTATGCATTTGATAAGCTTTAACATATTTATGAAAACTAAAACATTCTATGTCGGTTAGACAATTTTAATTTGAGGAAGTGACTCTTTGACTTTTAATGCAAATTTATACTCATGCATTTCTTTTGCCATGACATTTGTATACAAACTAAAGCATTTATTGTCAACAAAAAAAACAATAAGTTTCTTGATGTTGAAGCAGTTCATTTTTTTGTAGTTGTTTTTTGCAAGCAAAATAAATGGATGTTCTATTGAAGGAAATTTTTTCTATTTATTTCTAAAAAAGAAAAGAAACATATAGCTAATATAAAAAAACATTTCTTTTAAAATAGAGTAAAAAAGTGCAACAATATGCATGTATACAAAAATTTATGTGTACTATCCAATTAATTTTAAAATTTCTAAACAAATGATGTGACATAATTATATATGTTTGTTTCAGGGATTTGTTTTCCTTAAAATAAATACATTTTGGTTTGAAAAATAGATTTTTTAATATCCATTGCAAGTTCATACTTGCGCATATCATCTGCTTTGACATCCTTATGAAAGTTTAAACATTTACAAACATCAAAAAAAAAAAAAAAAAATTTATTAATGTTTAAGCATTTTGTCTTCTATAATTCAAATTTTGCAAACCAAATAAATGGACGTACTGTTGAATGACATTATTTTTTCTTAACCCTAAAAAACAAAACAACAAAAAAAAAAAATATATATATATATATATATATATATATATATATATATATATATATATATAAAATGATTTAAAAAAAACATATCTTTTAAAAGTTATAAAATTGAACAAAATGCAAACTTAACAAAAACTATGTATACTATTAAATTTAACTAATACAGTGTATATCATCACTAAATTATTTCTCCTTAATTTTTTTATTAACCAGTGAAATAACAACTGGTGATTTTTTGAATAACCTTTTGTTTAGTCAAAAAACATCTTTAGAAATTATATTTACACGATTAATATCCAAAAATTCATATGTATTATTGACATTAATACATATTTATTCGTGAAAAATTATGTTAAAATTAAAACAACTAAAATATCTATACAATATTGTTTTGATTTTATATGGTGTAGATAAATCTTCATCAACAATTCAACATATTTGAAATTTTTTTTTTTCAAATTGTGTTTAATTAAATATTTTTATTAAGTTTTATATGTTTCTTAAATAACGAGAAATCACTTTAGATTAATTTTTAGATTTTTGACTTTTTATTCTACGATTTAAATCATATTTGTTAAATGAAGGACTTTCTGTTTTATTTTTATGTTGGTGAATTATACATGTTAGAAATCATGTAGATACGTGTTGAAAGTCACACGTTATTTTAATTTTAATTTAAAGTATTCTCATTGGATCTTTTTATTTTATATATAAAGAGACAATTTTTGTGTAGAGTTAGTGAGGTTAAAAGAAAGCTATAAAATAATACGTTTTGTTTATTCAATTGATGGACATGACAATCCAACACTTTTTCATTTATGTTCAAAATGCTTTATAAAATAAACCTGACTTATAAATCTGCAAATGTCCTGTCCGTTTGATGTTGAAGAGATTCTTTAGCATTTATTGGAGACTTACACTTGTGAATTTTATGTGCCTTGACATACTTATGACAACTAAGACATTCGATGTCGATTTTTTTTTCACAAAAAAAAATTGAAATCAAAATTTGAGTAAGTTTTTGTCTATGTCAATGAAACACTTTCCATTGTGTATTTCATCTTCCTTAACTATTTATGACAACCAAAACATTTAACATCAACAAAAAAAGGTTATATTTTTTGATGTTGAAGCAGTTTATCATTTTTGAGATTTTTTTTTTGATAAAATGAATGGATGTTCTGTTAAATGACAATTTTTCTATATTTATCTTTAAAAACAAAAAAACAAACAAAAAAAAAACATTAAACTAATATGAAAAAATGTTATGTTTAAAAAAGTTTAAAATAGAGTAAAAAAGTTTAACAATATGCAAGTATAGTAAAATATATTTTTTGGTAAATTCTTCTAAAAATTCTGAGCATCAAGTGACAAAAATATGTTTGTTTAAAGGATTTGTTTTTCACAAAATAAACACATTTTGGTTTGAGAAAGAGATTCTATAATATTCATTGCAAATTTATACTTTTTGATATTATCTTTTTTGACATCTTTATAAAAACTTAGACATATACAATCAAGTTAAAGAAAAGTTTTGTTATCATTTAAGGATTTTGTTATTTATGATTTTTATATCAAAAAATAATATAAAAAATAATAAAATTTTTATCATTAAGTTTTGCATTTGATATGATACAGTATATTTAGATCTTTCTCATGGATTTAAAACATTTGGCGAAATTGTTTTTTCAATTCTGATAAGATTATAACATTTGATCAGGCTTTATCTTTTAAATAATGTTTAAATAGTATGTTGAAGCCCACCTTTGTTAGCAAATATGTAAAAGTCTGGAAAAACCTCTATACAACATATGTCCACATCTAGAATATGCTATCACCTTCTGGTGCCCTCACCTTAAAAAAGACATTACTGAAATTGAACAAATACAACATCATACCACAAAAATACCTCATGAATTAAAGCACCTTGATTACAAGACAAGATGTGATATACTTGGACTAACTTTACTAAGTGACAGAAAAAAACGTGGTAACCTTGTCCGAAAATTCAAAATTGAAAATAAAACTGAATTAATCAACTGGCATATTAACTCAATATACATTCCTCCCATCTATGGTGATCGCAAACACTTTCATCATGAAATTAATAGCAACTGCCTCATTCGACTTTTTTAACAATCGGGTTGCTAATACTTGGAATGCTCTGCCGGATGATGTTGTTAACGCCTTTACAATCGACAGTTTCAAAAAAAAACTAGACTAACAACTCATAATCATTACTCATTTTGTAAGTTTTTGATTTCTTCTATGATTTTAAGCTTATTTGTTAAATGATTTTAACTTTATTTCTTAAATGAAGGACTTTATTATTCGTGTTCGAGATGTTTTTTGAACTATGATTGACTGATAAACTGAAATAGTTTTGACTTATTTTGAAGTCTATAAATACCACTTCTAATGGATGTTGAAGAGATTTTTCACCATGTTTTAAAGACTCACACTAGTGTATTTTATCTACTTTGAAAAACTTATGACAACTAAAACATTTGATGTTGATTTGTTTTTTACAAAAAAAAAACAAACACACTTTGGTTTGAGAAAGTGATTTTTTAACATCCATTAAACACTCACAGCTTTGATATGATTATAACAACAATGGCATTATGCACAGAAGTGTTAAGTACAACATTTGGTCAAATTGAACTAAGTACACAAAAATTGTTGTAATTTTTCAAACATTGTTGTGTCCGAATATGGTAAGTGTAGCATAAATTGTTGCGATTCTACCAATTGATTAAAATGTTACTAGTCTACTAAATTGTTATTAGTTGACTACTTTCAAAATGCTCCCCAGTAAAATCACACCTTCGTCACTTACACTTGAAAAATAATGACAAAATAAAAATATTATTAATTCAATTTTGTATTTGATATTATACGGTAGATTGAGTTTTTTTTTGATGATTTAATATATTTGGGGAAAGTTGATTTTAAATTATGTAAATTATATAATTATTATAATTTATGTAATTATGAACATTTTTATCGAGCTTAACTTCTAATTGTTTGTTAAATATTAAAAAATTACATTTGATCAACTTCTTGTGTCCTTT